CCTACCATGATGCTATACACCGACTATCACGAGCCTAGGTCGTAGCCGTTTAGATTTGTGCCGCAATTCTGCATTTCCTCCCTATACCTTAAGTTAAGGAGGGAATGTTCCCCCTTCTTTTACACCTCTTGACCTTTGACCTTTGACCCCCAGCTTCGACATACCAACTCGTTTTTGGATTACCCCCCCACGTCCCGAATATCGTGACCGTACGTCGAGCGGTTAAGGTTTGTGCCCAACTGTTGACAGACGGACGCACGGACGGACGATCATGCGATTCTACAAGCAGCATTAGACTACGTCAGATGAGCTAAAAATGAAGTATGAATATTGTCCCATACTATAAAATGTTCCTATGACAAATAAAATTATATCTATAAAATGTCTTAATTAGTGTCCTACTGAATCACACATTATATACCCCCATCTGCAAATTTATTGTGAGAATGTAGTATGTACCTTGATGACTAGTCTATCAACGGCCCGAATGTCAGTCACATGATTGTTTCTCAAGAACATTTCTCGTAGTTTCGAGCGAAACATCGGTACGGTGGCCGGGACATGGTACTCCATTGCTGAAAGATGTAACATCATTATAGTAACGTCCCAACAAAAACCTCAAACCTGTCATTGCAAAAAAAAACTTTCAAAAGGCAAAACTAAAGTAATACTAGGTACGGTATAACCGGCATGAGCATCATCCAACAGCAACAATGTCACAAGTGGAATAGCAGCAGTGTACTAGTTAGCCAAGTAGTAGTAGTAGTAGTAGTAACACTAGTAGTAGAACTTGCTCTGCGGCAACTGTACGCGGGCTATAGTACTACTACTACTACTAGTAACAGACTAGAGGCTAGAGCCAATTAAATAGCGAGTATACACAGAATAATAGAATGCCTGCAATATATAATAGCTTGTTGACAGCACTCGCTCTGTGACTGTCACTATGCTAGCACTAACAGAAACACTAACACTAACAGTGTAACAGTAGAAGTCCAATTGTGACCCGCTCCAGCAAGACCAGGATTAAGTAGGAAATTCTACAATCTATGTGCATATCTGAATAGATCATTTAATTACCTTTAAAATGATATATAATATTTGGCTATATCTAAAGAATTGACCGATCTACAGCAATTTTAAGATTGGAAACCGACTTATTCCGGAATATGCAGCTTTTGAGATTTAAAGCGTTCCGGGTAAAGTCGGGGATGAGCAGTCGGTAAGATAACCAAGATCAAAGATAAAGATATCTAAGATAACCAGTCGGGGATGAGTCAAAAAAAAAAATTTAAAATGACCATAATAATCTAGACTAGAGATTATCTGAACCTTTAGGCTATAAATATAATATATCCGGATTAAGGATACTCTCCACGTTGTGCATGAAATTTCATCGATTTTTCGCTTTCAACTTTATTCGATGGCTAACACTATGTGCCACCTGTGTACATGCTCATTTCTCCATATAAACGGTACATGTGAACCATCAGAGCGTTTTTGCTTGCCCGCGTACATGTGTAGTAAGCAGCGGCTGACGTCATTATGACGTCAGACACATGATACAACCAGCATTTTCACGATATTCACTGAGCCAGTATCCATCAACATCAGGAGTAGATTCCCTATTATCTACTCCTGATCAACATCAACCCTGCTACAGCTGTACTACTACCCTGATCCAATAAGCAGGCTTTCATTTTTAAGGGGCGCGATCGCGCTCGCGCTCCACCCCGCACCCAAAATTGTGCCATGGTACGTGCATCATCGCGCCTCATAAAAGTGGTTGAAATCGCGCACCAAAAGTATGTGTATTATGTTGAAATTGCACTTCATAGAGTTGTCAATGTAGGGGGGTACAAAAAGGTTAGCAACACACAACAATTTGTGGTGTGTAAGTTGGGCATTTTTGTCATGTTTACTTTGCGCACTTCAGTGCAATTCTTCTTATTTCAAGTTAATGAACAGTTAATGCCGTCGGTCCGCAGGCTGCAACTGAAGTTGTTCAGTGCAACTTCATCAGTGGATGTGCATGTAGTGGTGCTGCCGGCCTTGTGAGCAAATGATCAACCGTTTAAAAAAAAATATAGTAATGTTGAACTGCAAATTTATGCAACGTAATATTCAACGTAATTTCCAACTAACTTTAACTGAAAATATTTATTAAAGCTCTAGACTATTGTCCCCTTCAATTTTAAACAACTTTATTGAAGAATCGCTCGTGGTGGCCATTACCATTTTAACAAACTTCCATAGCAGTGGGAATTGAATACCACGAAGGAAAACTATGACAATGGAAATTCTATCGTCTGTATATCCCGTATGCAAAGATTTTCTCTTACCTGGCCACGCTCAGGAAACTTTGCACGTGTACTCGCTTATTCTACAGTTTTAAACGGTGTTTAGCGTCTGTAGATTTTTGCAATGAATTTTCATAGTTATGCCTGGTTGTCCATAAGTTTGGTTCAAAATTCGTAAAAAATTTGGAGTCTTCAATTCAGTCCGACTGATAAAGTAACATAATGAACCCATGTATGTATAATTAAATGCAATATGATATATTCACAATACATAAATTTATGATACTCTCTCACAGATTAGTGAATAAGTATAGTGTTTACAAATAGGATGATTTCATTAGTGGACGTTTTTTGATGTACCTTATCATTTTTTGTACTCTTAGTTATGTTATCTCAGAGACAATATATTTATTCCTTTGCCAGGAATTGACTATTAATGCAAGTCTCCCAACGTGACACAGCCACAGTATGCAATGGAGTGGTACAACCCGAGTGAAAGAATCCACCAACGTGTTCACCTACAGACCATGGGAGACAAAGGCGAGGACCAGAAAGAAACAAAATAATGCCATTGCTGATCATTTATGTGACACCAAAGTGACAGGGTGCGAAATTAACGGGAGTCCGGAGTCAAATACTCCCTGATTTACTGTCGGACTCCCTGATTTGACATGTGCAGGAGTCCGTGCGACGCCCTGAAAATTATGCCATACTAACTAGTGAGTTCCAGAGCACGGCCTCGCGGCATTATCGTATTTTTTCAGCTAATATCCAAAGAAAATTTGGCAGACAGGCAACCGCATAAATCTTAAAGGCATACTAGGCCCATTGATTATGCAATGTTGACGAATGCTAGAGTAACTGGCACCTTGTGTAGTTAATAAGTACATAACCTTATAGCCAAACGCGTATTAGTTTGTCCAATATCACTGCTGGTTACATTACAAGCAAGACTGGAAATCAGGTGTGGTTGATATTCGATTCTACGTCTGCCCCCGGGTAAAATGTGTCCATCGCAGGAGATTTCAGAAAGCGAGTCTGTATCTACACTCCGCTTCGCCGGCAGCTGCTTTTGAAACTATAAACAACTGATTTCTTGGACTGCTGTGTATATTCAATTATTGGATCTATGTCGTTTAGTAACTCAGCAGTGATATTGGTACAACTAATTAACACGCTTGATGTAAGTGGTTATGTACTTATTAACTACCAGCAAGGGTCGCAAGTTACGGCTAGATTCGTCTACATTGCATAATCAATGCCGGCCTAGTTTGGCCATTTAAAACATGCGTTCATTGTTAATACTTCTTTGAATTGTCTTAACCTCCAGACGCGGATCCTTCATTTTGCTGCCGGACTCCCTCTTTTTGATGGTTAAGGAGGTCCGTTGGACTCCCGTGTTCAAAAGTTAATTTTCTACCCCTGAAGTGATGATGTAAACAACAACAAAATTTTCAGACACTTGTGTTAACATTAACAAAATTTTTTATGTTTTATTTTGCCACACACTTTCGTTTGAGTAAGGTACAATGCTGTTTAGGGGAGAGTGAGAAAGCGTGAAACCAAGTTTCTGTGCAAACAAACATAAGTCCGCCACTGCTCACAGAGCAGCTTTTTTTGCCATGCCTATTGCCGATTTTGCATGTAATTCTTTTATCACTTGCAACTCGCTAACACGCATGTCACACTATAACAAAATACAATGATACTACAGTTAAGCTTTCGTCACGCAGCAGGCGCTCATTCGTGCTTGTTCTCCCGCTGCGGGGCGTGGGTAGAGAACTGGATAGAGAAAGGTCCTGCTGGTCTCGGCCTGCCTACATCGTATCCTCAAAGTATCTCATCAAATGGTTTCTGGTCATCCACTTCTGAATGGCCTCTTGCAGTTCCATTTGGCCCTAAAAATGGTTCCGCCGGTTCCCATGGATTAATTAACAGCACTTCTGTACTTCATTAAAAGGATGCGTACAGCGCTAGCAAACTTTTAGGGCGGCGGCTATATCTAGGTGGATAGTAAGCTCGCATTAAATACACGCAGGAGTGCCGCCAGAAACAACAAGCGGCTCTCACCTGAGACAGGTGTTCTGATGCTAAGAAGCTCACCTGAGGCAGAACGAAATGTGAAGAGCACCATCCATCACCGCGGATTTCGGCTTGCAGAGCGGTCTGTGATATCTTAGGGATTACTTACTGAATACAGTATCTAAAATCTATAGATGAGCTAGGCTTTGTATACCGGTGTACAG